TGCTGATACATGAAATTTTTGTTTGTTTGCTTGTTTGGATTCTAATTTTTTCAAGGGTTAATGGAATCCAATTCGATGAGATTTCGATTATACTATCGAAGCGTCAGCAATTATCCCCTGAATTCAAAGGTTCGTAAAGAAAAATCGGCAAAAAAAAGTTTAATGTTTGTATGAATATTTGACTTGGGTGATTTCGATAAAGTTGAGAAGTAGAAGATTCAATTGTGAGTGAGTAGAATAAGGCTATATACTTAGTGAAAAGCTCGAAAAAATGCTTCAAAAATGGTGAATTTATCTGTTTTCTGTTCTTGGCGAATAAGGTGAAGTTAGGGACAAAAGCTTTATTATGAATCCTTGTGAATGATTTCTCCACAAGAACATGAATCTGAGGAGATACTTCATAGTTGTCTTGAAACGAAAATGAAAATATTGTCTTGATTTGGTCCTTACCGTAAGAAATGCTGCCATTTTATCTAAATTGTGAGTTTCTTGTTTCTCAGAGATCAACCCATTGGGGAAGGTTCCAGCTATTGTTGATGGCAGACTTAAGCTATTTGAAAGGTTATGCAAATGTTCTTTCTCTTTTGGATTCTTACTTCTTTTTATTCACCCCTTCCCTTTTTTTGCAATCGTTAACCGGTAATTCTTCTTGCAGTCACGCTATCTTGATATATCTAGCTTTGGCATTCCCAAGTGTACTTGATCATTGGTAAGTGGTTTTTTGTTTGACACATGTTCTTGATACCAAGTTTGATCATTTTACTTCAATATTCATTCCTTTACTTTAGGTACCCGAATGATCTTTCGAAAAGAGCCAAGATTCACTCAGTCTTGGATTGGCATCACACCAATTTACGCCCTGGTGCAGGTACTTGTGAAACACGATGGCGAATGCACATAATATTCATATCGATATCGATGTTGAGAAGTTGTAGAGTCAAATGGATTGATCAGGTTCATGTTTCTGAATACGGTTATTTTACTATTTCAGCTGGATATGTATTGAATACTGTACTAGCTCCAGCCCTCGGTCTTCCACTGGATTCGCAAGCAGCTGCTAAAGCTGAGAATTTACTAACAAAGTCTTTGTCCACTCTAGAAACTTTCTGGCTTAAGGGAAATTCTAAGTTCTTGCTCGGAAGCAACCAACCATCTATAGCTGATCTGAGCCTTGTATGCGAACTTGTGCAGCTGCAGGTACAGAATTTCGCTGTTTTATGAGATTTAATTCTTCGAAATACCAAATCCAAACTAATCATACCGAACATTCTGAGGTAAAATGTTGCTTCCTTTGCTATGTTTTGGCTATTGAATGTAAACAATATTTGCAGGTTTTGGAAGAGAAAGACCGTGTTAAATTGCTCGGTCCTCATAAGAAAGTTGGAGAATGGATTGAGAATACGAGAAAGGCGACAATGCCTCACTTTGATGAGGTGCATGAAGTTCTTTTCAAAGCCAAAGAAAAGTTTGAGAAGCAGCGAGAGATGGGAACCGTAGCTAAACCGGGTATTCAATCTAAGATGTAAAGAACAAAACTCGTATCACGCTTATGCAAAACCGGTTTCAGAGATCGCTAGTTCTTCGTTGAATAAATCGATGAATGTAGTAAAAACAATCACTTTATCAGAGCTTCCATAATAATACTACAAGTTTTCAAATTGTGGCTGAAATTGTTTATACCAAACCGGAGAGCATTTTGAATCTCTTACCGGAGAGAACTCAAACCGGTTAATAATTTTAAATTTTAATATTTTATATAGACCCATTTGTTTGGGCCTGCGCGAGGCCCATTTAATATAAGTGAAGAAAACGACGTTGTGACCTAGGTTTAATTCTCCTC